ATGAGTTTGCCACCCAGAACCAGACCTCGTACAGAGTACAACTGTCAGGATCCTGCTCCCTGCCAGACGCCGGGGGACCGGTCGCCGTTGTGAGGATTCACTAAATCAGGAAACCAACACCTCAGACCGAGCGCGTTGGGTGTTTCAGCACACTCCAAACTTCGCTCTGAGCAGCATACCGCCCTTCTCTCTGGGTTTCGTTCTCTCTGCTCTCCATCCTCCTCGGTGTTCTCAGTTTCCGTCTTTTATTGTCATTTACAATCAACTGTTTTCACCTTCCCTTCTTCCCAGGTGCTATCTATTCTCTAAGCTCCTCATCTGTTTCTCTAATACATGTGTTTTCTCTAATCTCATGGTCTGTCCCTATCCCTTTAACTCCTGAAGCCTCGGGATGCGGTGTATCGGTCCCGATCTGATCTGTATCGGTCCCAATCTGATCTATAACCCCCTTTCGACTCTCTAAGTCTCTGTCCCTCTTAGGTGTGATATTCTAGCAAGGCAGGAGATAGTGAACCTTTTGTTCTTATTTCAGCCAGATCTATTTGCATAACGAAGAGCTGGAATGCTCTGCGGTTGGGAGAGAGATTACTCATCCCCTATGCCAGTTATGAGTTTGCCACCCAGAACCAGCTCACGTACAGAGTACAACACGCCCAACGGCGGAACTATTGGAATGAATTCTAGGGTGATTTCTCCCTATTCATTTTTCTAGACCTTATAAAGAACTGATTTTTTTTTTAAATGGTGGCTTGCAAGTCAAAGGTTTTAACCTACTTCTCACAGTCTGAACATACGAAACGACTTTATTACAAGTCAAAATGTTAGTCTAGCTCAATATCATCTCTTTCGAGGGCAGTTCTTGAAGGATTCAGCGGAGAGGTGCTTCCCAGCACCTCCTAATTGAGACCCTTTACCTGGAAATTCTGAGGTCTCTCCACCACCTCAGCAGTGTGAAGTCTTTCCTATCAAAGGAAGAGGATATGTCTTGTGTGGCTGGATGAGAGCTTTTGCTATCTGGCCCGCCTCTATCAAACTCCATGCTGAATCACCAGCATTCCAAGCCCTTTCCCTAACAACCCAGGTACCACTTTCTGGCCCGTCCAGGCATCACGAGGCTTCATCAGAGGTCATTTTGTAGAAATAGAGGTGCAGGAGCTCATTAGCATAACTTATTTGCATGTCCAACACCCCCTGACATCACCGAAGTGTGTCAGAAGGCAACACCCACCTCTGAGGCTCCACTGGACTGTTTTGGATTGCTAGTTATTGGGGGGGGGACGTGCAGATCTGTCCTCGCAGAGGAGGGAGAGCTTGTACCTGAATAGAACTTGGTCTTAAAGGTGCCACTGGACTGTTTTGGACCGGGGGAGCGGGGGGGCTCTGCAGCTTACCTGGCTGCTTCTTGCTCTGACTGAGGGCTGCTGGGAGCAGGGGGTGGGGCTTGTAGCATGTGCCTGACCCCTGGGCTCTTTACTGCCGGAGCTCTGCTCCTGTGCGCTCCTGCAGGAAATGACCCCTGGGCTTCATAAACATAAAGCGGGGGATCCAAAATGAGCATACAAAGGCAGGTGCAAAGGGTGGTATTACCGAATCATTTTGGTAAAGAAAGAAATTACATAGCAGAGGAGAAAAGCCCTTCAATATAAAGATCAAAACAACCCAGAAGCATGTGTGCGCACCGGTCCTATGCATTCCAAGCCACTCAATCAGGATTGCTGCAGCCACGGGACCTACTCTGACTGCATTCCTTTGGGTTCTCCTCCTTTCTGCCACTGTGTGGGATATACAAGACAGCCAAAGAAGATGGACAAGGAGACTGAAATAGGCCCAGAAACGGTGTCTTCTTTCAGTGCCGCATATGAATCTGGCATACACTAAGCCAGCTCATTGGCCCCTCTATCCCAGGACTGCTAACAGTAACTGACAAGAACTCCCCAAGATCTTGGGGTTGATCCATATGCTAAAAGTCCTTGTGGCTGCCATGAGCTTTAAGCATGGCGGCTGGGAGATTCCAACTTTGAACTCAGTTCCCAGATGCACACATGCACAATACGGATTGGGACTGTGGTGCGTGTGGACAGAGAACTTCCCTCACCCCCCAATCTTCATGACCTGAAATGGCCTTAGGGAGCTGACATTTGCCTTTGGGGGAGGGAACATTCATTTACTGAAGTTTCCCCAATGGAGCAAACAGCAGCTTCCTGGGGTATTTCAGTTGAGAAGAAGATGAGAAGAAATTGGATTTATACCCCCCCCACACACTGCCTGAAGGATTCTCAGAGCGGCTTGCAGACTCCTTTCCCTTCCCCTCCTCCCAACAGACACCCTGTGAGGGAGGGGGGGCTGAGAGAGCTCTTTCGAGGATTGCTTGTGAGAGAACAGCTCTGAAAGAACTTGTGACTGAGCCAAGGTCACACCAGCAACTGCATGTGGAAGAGGGGGGAATCAAACCCAGTTCTCCCCGATTAGAGTCTGCGCCCCTAAAGACTACACCAAACTTACTCTCATAAACGGTGCAAAGAGAGAGTCTGCGCCCCTAAACACTACACCAAACTTGCTCTCATAAACGGTGCAAAGAGGGCATGCTGTGGTTCTGATCTTGATCAAGAGCTTCAAGCGGGGAATTCTCAGACCACATATGTTGACCCACCATGTGAGCTTTGTTATACATGAATAAGCCCTCGGTCCTGCCCAGGACCTGCTACTTGAGAACTTTTGCCTGGCGTTGACAGGAATGGAACTTGGTCTTCCTGTATGCAATGCACGCGATTTACAGGCCTTTCCCCATTAGGATGAAGTACTGTCAACTTAGGCAGTGGCTCTCCAGGGCCCGAAACAGAATCTTTCTCGTCCTACATATCCCAAAGCCTTTTAACTCAACAAGTCAGGGACTGAACCTGAGACTCTCTGCATTTTTGACAGGCCCAAGGGGCCTACCTGGAGCTCTACAAGTTTCTCATTCAGCGGTTTCCCCCACCAAAAGGTTTTCAACATTTTCTCAAGTTTAACAGGGACAGCAAGAGGGCTCAGGACAAACCCAGATTTTTTTTTGGGGGGGGGGATGCTTGCAAGTGTAACGTGTGCAACCTTGCTTGCACAAGCAGATGTCAGCTCACCGAATCATTATCTTACACACTTCTTACCGCAACTGCCGAAGACCAAAAGCAGTATCTGCTTGGCTTGGCTTCACGCTGCAGGTGTAAAAGCCATGTAACTTTCTGGCTACTTGTAAGAGAGGTCTTGAAGCCCCGGTCTGAAGCATTAGGTACAATCGAATGAGAATATCTCCTGAAGAAGCCTCACAGGAACAAACTGGTCACGTGCAGAGGAGAAAAGTGAGAGTCTCTCGGCTGGCAGAGCTAAACAGACATACTAAAGCAGAGCTCTCAGATACTCAGAGGGAAGGAGGGAGGGAGAGACATCTCCCCATGCCAAGCAGGATGTGGGATGCCCTCAAAACCCATAATTCCTTCCCTCAGACCTTTGCGAGTCAGCAAGAAGGAGCAGATGGAATGAGTTAGGCCCATGGAGGCCGCTCTCATCTGATTTGAATTAATAATTACGAAAGGTTGATGGCTCCTGGCAGCAGAGGGGGAGAGACTGCCATGCCTCCACTCTAGCATTTGGGGGTTCAGGTGCCATCTTGCCTCTGTTGTTGTTGTTTTTTTAAAACATTTTTAATTGCTTTTCTAAACCACACACACACCTATAGGGTTTGGGGATGGGAACAAACTAAAACTACGAGTAGCAAGAGATCATTAAAGTAATGATAATTCCCTGTTGTCAAAGTAGTAATACGTGAGAGTTAATACGATAGTTATATAAAAGATTGAGCGAGTGTTCACAAACAAATTTGGTTAGAGTGTATGCTTCTTAGTTCAGGATTATTCGTTCCTGATAATTATCAGACCATTAGAGTTTCATTATTTTACTTATTTCCTTCCTCTACGTTTCTTTTTAAAGTCTTTTTCCTTGTCTCTGTTTTATTTGGAGAAGGGATGGGGCTCAGAAAAGTTGACACTTCACTCCCAATTCGTCAGCTCTCTCTAAAGAAGAAACCTCAGGACATGGTTTCCAACAGAATCTGGGAACCATATACTTAACGACATGGGAGGGATAGGGACTGAGGAAGGAAAAGAGGGAAAGTGGAAAATGTCAGGATTCAGACTTACAGCAGGACCTGAACCTAAGACCTTGGGCATTTCAGGCAAAGATCCCAAGAACCAGAGTGCTATAATGGTGAGGCTAAAACCGGAGAGGTATGGCTCAAATCAATAGTCAGCCATGGTGCTCAGTGAGTGTCTTTCAACCAGATACTATTTCTCATCCTAGCCTACCTCACAGGATAACTGTGAGGATAAAACGAGAGCCACTGGACACCCTTGCACACAATCCTCCCCGGATAAAGGGATGGGATAAATACGTGATAGACAGAAAGATCAACACAGGCAATCCACAGCCCGATCCTTCCCCCTATATGGTCAAAGTGCCTGCAAAGACAGAGGGAAAGATCGCAAAGTACATTTTTTATTGTCGTCTTTTGGCACGAAAAGAGATTCTTCGTGAGATGCGGCGTGCCATCCTGCAACATTTCACAGACGGTAAAAACAAAATCCTGTTCTCATCAAAAAGCCTCCCCTTGGCTCCCCGTTACGCACTGGTGAAGGATCTTCCCCATCACACTGTATCCCTTTACTTGGGAAGAGCTTGTCCTACACGGCATTAAAAACCAGTAGAGGTAAAGTTACATTAGAGCAAAGTTACACGTAGACCCCAAGGGAAAAGTTATCAGCACGTTCCAGATACGCAGAGCTAACAGGATATTAAGAGGGTTGGGTTGATGAGGGGAAGGAAGGTGTGCAATGGGTGAAAAACAAAAAAGGAGAAAGGGGGGAGGGGGTAAGGGGTATGTCACGCAGTGCAAAGGAAACAAAAAACAGGAGTGGGGGAATTGCATGCAGAGAAATAACAACAGTGCAATAAGGGAATATTCAGATCACCTTATCACCTTTCAGTCCATGCTCTCCAGGATTTCCCATCAGCCCCTAAAAATAAGAGGGGGAAAGAAAGACAAAAGAGTAAACTCGGGCATGGCACCTCTAACAAGTTCCCTGTACTCTGGCTAAACCTGAATCTTTTCTAGGTTCACACACTTGGCCCTACCTGCTTTCTAAAAGCCAAAGGAAGGGAACAGACAAAGCAAGGGGACACAGTTCTAAACACCCCAATGTTCATATAAGGAATATCACTGTCTGATTATCCACTCCCGAACACATACACACTACCAGGGCTTTTTTTGTGGAAAAAGCCCAGCAGGAACTCATTAGCATAATAGGCCACACCCAACAGCAGAAACTCATTAGCATATTAGGCCACACCCCCTGACAGCCAGCTCATTTGCATATTAGGCCACACCCCCATGTTATCAGAAGTGTGCTCATCCAGCCACACCCACCTTTTGCTTCTTATTCTGTTTACCTTGTTTGTTGCCAAAACCCAGGGCCTTTTTTGTAGCAGGAACACCTTTGCATGTTAGGCCACACACCCCTAATGTAGCCAATCCTAATGAGTTCCTGCTGTTGGGCGTGGCCAACTTGGAAGCCAGTCGGAACTCCGTTCCTGTGCGTTCCTGCCCCAAAATAGCCCTGCACACTACTGTACACTGCTGAAAGCTCTGCTCTGCTTTCTGCATGTGGTATTTATTTACTCTGCAACTACCTGGCTTCCACTAGCTAAAAAGTCCTACAATATACCTCGGCAACTGCAGGATGTGACATGCTTTATGCAGCCTTTACTGTCATGTGCGTGGATTTACCTACGTGTGCACTAAGGACAAGTTGTAACTTCTAAAGTCATTGGGAACTTTACTGTCATGTGCGTGGATTTACCTATGTGTGCAGGTAGGAGAAAGTGAAAGCATTATTGGAACCCTGAATCTACTGCAGACTTTGCGAGGCCTGCTCCAGTCCTGACACACCCACAAGACGTGGACAACCAAAAACTGGAAGTGGTAGGGAATGGATTAATGTCTTGCTGCTGGGTGTCTGGGAAGATAAAAGAATCTCAATCAGTGCTGTGCAGGCCAGTTGTGCAGCCAAGACAGAGCAAGCAATTACCAGGAGGTCGCAGTCTGGGAAGCCCTTCTATGTCAGGCTCACCCTTCAAGGAACGGGACTCCCATGTGAAACAACAAGGGCCAGTAGCCCAAGGGACACTATCCTTCTTGGCTGATGGTTCACCGCCTTGGAACCAGTGAAGTGGTAAGTTTCCCTGCCTTGGAGGAAGGTGCTTGAGCAGCCAGCAGGCTATTCAGCTGCGTCCTCTGAGGCTATGAAAGGGGAAAGAGCCCCCGAAGATCACAACCAGCCAGTAATATGAGCAAAAATTGTAAAGCAAGGCATTCTCAGAAAGCAAAAATAAGGACTGCAGTTTACTAAGGAACAAGAAAATAGGGACTGTGCTTGGTAATGGAGTACTTGGAGGGTGTAGAGAAAACACAGGTCGCAGAACTTTTTAATGAAGGACAGAATAGAAAATTAGGTCCCAAAGGAAGAAACACCTGAAAGCAAGCATTCATTTTGCAACTGCTGTCTATAGGAATAGCTAGACTGTCATTTTTGTTTTTATTCTGTATTGTGGCTTTTCATTATTTTTAATATGTGTATTGTGATTTGGCTGTCTTTCAATTATTTATTTGTTATAATTTTTAATGGTTTTGTAACTTTACTATTGTGACCTGCCCTGAGCACACTTGCAGGGAGAGCGGTATATAAATTGAAATAAATAAATAAATTTATGCTTCTGGAAATCCATATGAAAAAGAGATATTGTTTCAGCCCTGACCTGGATAGCCCAGGAAAGCCTGATCTTGTCAGATCTCAGAAGCTAAGCAGGGCTGACCCTGGCAAGTACTTGAAGGGAGATCTCCAAGGAATACCAGGGCCGGGACGCAGAGGCAGGTTACTCAAGCCTCCTTCTCTGAAAAATGTCCAAGCCCTCAACACACACACATACACAAAAACATATACATATAAAAGAAGAAGAAAGGTATTTCCCCCAAAAAATAAATTAAAAGATTTCTACCCTGCTAGATAATTTACAGGAATCTTGAGATGGCTTACAAACAATAACATTCAAAAACAAAATAAACTGACACACAATTAGAAGAAACATTTTAAAATACTGCAAAAATAAAAAAGAAATAACTATACACTGAAGTAATTAAATTTACTATTAAGATTACTACACTCTGAAGCACTGTTCCCTCTAAGTTGAGTTAGGGTGATTTAGCTCACAGTTTTTTAACCTCCAGCTCACACTTTTTTGTCTTCGCTCGGGAAGGATGTCTCCAGAGCAAACTAATTTATGCAGTAGCCAAATCGTTCGCTCACAACTTCAATGCCAGTAGCTCGCAAAGTAGAATTTTTGCTCACAAGACTCCACAGCTTAGAGGGAACATTGCTCTGAAGCCAGCAATATGCCACAGTTTAGCTAAAACCAGCAGTAGGCTGCAGAAACAATCTTAAGTCCCAGTGAAAGTCTGAGTAAATTTCAAAAAAAGGTTTTCACCAGATATCTCCTGATGCTCAGCAATGTAGCCAACCCTCAAACATTTCACAGATGCAAACAGACATGCCTGGGAAAGCCCTTTTCTCATACCAAAGATCACTTTACAAGCTCCACCCCTGCCATGATTATGCATTATTGAAGGCTCTTCACTTTCCGACTATTCATTTACTCCAGAATAGCCTGTCCAGGGCTGATGTAAAAGCTGGCTTTGTTGTTTGGCATCATGATATGCCAGGCACCCCAAAGTGATGCCTTGGGCAATGTTCCCTCTTATTTTTTTCCTCCTACTGAGCAGAGCAGTTCACATCTTGAGCAGAATATAACTGCTGTAATCTTAAAATGGGAAATAGGCAGTGCAGGACCCTGCGTGACTCCAGATTGCTGCTGAGCAGGGCTTCCTGTGTTAATGAGCGGTCGCTCACCTACACAGTTTGGGGGAGACTGGCCTTGGGCACCATGGTGGCTGATGACATCTTTTCTGGCGCCCGCCAAATGTTTTCATAAGGTAGGCAGGGCCAGGTGGGGCTTTTGCCCAACAAGGCTTCTTATTAGTCACTGGAGATTTGATTGGCTCTACAGATTTTTAAAAATTTTGTTTTGGCAGCAGCTGCCACCACAACACAAGGATCTTCACTGAGCGACTGAAGGTAAACTCCAACAGCCATTTTTTTGCTGGTTCTGCCTCCTGCAGCAGCTATTTTATGTCAGCCATTTGTTGGCTGTGCCCACCACCCTGTGTCACAATTCCAAAGTTGCCCACAGACTCAGAAAGGTTGGGTACCCCCTGTAATAGACTATATCACCAGAACTGTGCTATACTACATTACTGGAAGATGAAAAGCATCCTCTTCAGCTGCAGGGATAAAATGACAAGATCTGTACTACATTGCTTAGTATTCATGTACATGCTCTTCTGTGCATTTGAATAGATTCAAGATGCACATACACACACACACACAAACAATGCCTTAACGGCATTTTACAGGAGTAAAAACATAATATCTGAGAGATAAAAATGCAAATTTTGGATAAAATACAATTTCCGGTAAAAATTACCCTGCACTGAGTGCTTACAAAGTTTCACTACGTATAGAAGCAGCAGCCAGTAAAAACTTTGCTACAAATTCAATTATGTTTTCCTCAGGAAGTACATACACACATATACATACTCAGAGAATTAACTGCAGAAGATGGAGGGAGAGGATGATCCCTGGAGGATGACAACTCTAGCAACAGACACTAACAAAATCTTAACGTACTATCAAAGCAAAAATATGGACTGGGATTTACCCCCAAGAGAGATTGGAAAGTAGGGACTATATGACGGGGGCATCATCAGGCAAACACCTGAAGGTCTAGCCGTGCGTTTGGATATGGAGATGCAGGCAAGAGGTTTTTTTATGGATCAGACCAGGCCTAACAAAGCTAGAATTTAACATCTGGGAACTGTGGGTGTTCGATCACCGCTAACAAAGATCCAGAGAGTGATTTCAACAACAGTGATCAGCTTTATTGAAGGTACGAACAAGCGCTTGAAAGAAGTCATAACCAGAACAACTTAACATTGGGAGCTAGGCTCCTTTTAAACATTCCCGGGCTAACGTAGCCACACCTATTTACAATAAACAACTAATGAGGTTGTGCGGATAATGTCCGATGAACGTCCTTCCCTCGCAGGGAATTGGTACAGTTCTGATTGGTCGCTGTTGTGGAGCGACCAATAGCAAGTTGGCTCGGAGGAGCCTTCCTCTGGCTCGAGCTTATCATGGAGAGTTAATGCGGCAATTCATATAAGCCTTTTCGAATACGCCACAGTGGGGGGAGAGGACAGAGGCTACGATGAGAAAGTGGGCTCTTTCCCCTGGTGTAAACTCTTCTCTTGAGTTTTGAAGGAAGGGAGTGATTAATAGGAAAGGCTCCCTACGGCGGTTCTCATTGTCCATCATCTCCTAAGGCACCCCATGGATAAGGGAAAACATTCCTTGCTGATTCCTCATTAGCTCATATTTGCTCAGAAAAGCAGAGCGACATTTCACCAGCCCCTTCTTTTCTCACCAGCCTCTTCCCCTTCTCTACCTGCTGCCATGGATACACAAGAATTGGCCTCCTCGCCTCTGGCCTCCTGTGGTAAAATTAATTTCTAGGGCTGCAGTCCCCCCAGCCCAGTATTTAGCTCTCAAGGGTCTTTCCTAGCCCTGCTTCCTAAAGGCCTTTGACAGGGGATTAAACGTGGGACCTTCTGCATACAGGTCGTGTCGGAGGCTCAGAGAGACCCAGGCCACTTCGTGCTGTTGAGGTCCCAAGGCATAATTAAAAAGAAAATTAAAAGACAATACACGAAAACAAAAGAAGGCCTGTTATTAAATATAAACGTCCAAAAATATCACAACCTGCGCCCTCACAAAAATTCACAGGGCAGGATTGTTCTCATAAATTTTCACCTTGGATTTGAACCCCAGTACTTTTCACACACCAAAATGTTCGGCCCCCTCTATAGGCTTGCCAAGTCCCCCGGGAACTTGGCAAGTGTGATGTGACTGTGAAGAAATCTAATGCAATCTTAGGGAGCATTAACAGAAGCATTGTGTCCAGATCACGGGAGGTGGTAGTTCTGCTCTATTCTGCTATGGTCAGGCCTCACCTGGAGTCCTGTCCCAACGTGCCCGACGTGATCGCGTCACTCCGAGTGATGTGGATGCAGCGCACGCGTGCACACTCTCGAAGCGGCGCTGGAATCCCCCACTCCAGCACCACGGGGACTTGGCAACCCTACCCCTCTGAGGTTGAGGCCTAGGCCTCCCCAACTGTCCCTTCCTGCATACAAAGCAAATGCTCTGCTACTAAACCTTTCCCTGCATTGATAGCAGCACATGTGAAAGGGATCTAGGTGTTCTTGTTGATCACAAGCTAAACATGAGCCTGCAGTGCGATGTGACTGCGAAGAAAGCTAATGCAATCTTAGGGAGCATTAACAGAAGCATTGTGTCCAGATCATGGGAGGTGGTAGTTCTGCTCTATTCTGCTATGGTCAGGCCTCACCTGGAGTCCTGTGTCCAGTTTTGGGCACCACATTTTAGGAAGGATTTTGACAAGTTCGAGCGTGTCCAGAAAAGGGCAACCAGGATGGTGAGAGGGTTGGAATCCAAATCTTATGAGGAAAGGCTGAAAGAGTTGGGTATGTTTAGCCTGGGAAAGAGAAGGCTTAGAGGGGACACGATTGCCATCTTCAAGTATTTGAAGGGCTGTCATGTAGAAGAGGGAGCAGATCTATTCTCTCTTGCTCCGGATTGCAAGACTATATCTAATGGGTGGAAATTACAAGGGAGTCCTTACCGGCTAAATATCAGGAGAAACTTCCTAACTGTAAGAGTGGTTGAGCAGTGGAACAGACTGCCTCGGGAGGTGGTGGAGGCTCCTTCGCTGGACGTTTTCAAGCGGAGGCTGGATGACCATCTTTCGGGTATGTTGTAGGGCTATCTTTCGGCTATGCTCCTGCAGAGTGCAGGGGGTTGGACTAGATGACCTGCGAGGTCCCTTCCAACTCTAACATTCTATGATTCTATGATTCTATACTATACAAAGCTGCCTTATACCAAGCCCAGTGCTGGCAACATGTCCAGTGTAGTGTAGAAGTTAAGAGCTATGGACTAGTATCTGGGAGATCCGAGTTCAAATCCCCACCCGTGCCATGGAAGCTTGTTGGGTGACCTTGGGCCAGTCACACACTCTGAGCCTAACCTACCTCACAGGATTGTTGCGTGGACAAAATAGAGGAGAGGAGAACGACGTAAGCTGCTTTGGAACCCAGCCGGAGAGAAAGGCAGGGTACAAATGAATTAAATAAATAAATAAATACTCTGACAGGCGGCGGCTCTTCAGGGTCTCGAGACACACACAAAAAGATGTCTCTCCTAACACCAACCACCTGAGATCATTTAACTGGAAGGAATGCCAGTGACCCCATATGTGAAGTGAATGTGGCTGCCATGGGACTATTTAAAAAAAAAATTATTTATAGTCTGCCTTCCTTGTTGAGACTCAAGGCTAATTATGGTTCCTGCCCCATCGAAAATCACTCACCATGACAGGTACAGAAACCTGCAAGAAATGTACTTCAGCCAGAGACACAAGAAGGCAATCAGAGCAGTGACAGAGGGAGACAGATAGCCAGAATTTAGGGTTTGAGGGCTGAGAGGGACTGGTTTGTTTACCAGGCATGTGAAATAAAGAGGTATCAGATTTTTGGGGACGTTTACTGGCCTGAGGAACTGAGGTGTTACAGTGGGCCACGAGGGTTTGCTGGGTCTAGTATGAAACTCAGCTGCAGTAGAGTGCTGTATTTTAAGATGTTACAAACCTGCCTGAGAGAATGTCTTCCTTGGGCCTGTACTGTTTGAAACCTAACATCCCACAACTCATAGTTAAGTGTTCATATTTACCTCAGTTTGTGTGGGGTTCTTTTTCCTGATTAGACTTCATTCTTGTTCAATTTCAAAAAGCAAATCATCTCGTCCCCGTCAGTTCACCTCATTATCCCTCAGTGATCAATCCAGACTTGGGTGGGTTTTTCATACTCAGGTCCGGATGCTATCACCTCAAACTTTTCTTGGTGCTTTCCCACTCCAAACCCCAGTGCAATGGGGTAGGCGGGAAACTGTGAGATGGACAACAAAATTCTGTGGGGTGGTGTCTAGCTTCCAATGAATACGTCACACTCACCTTTAATCCTTTTGGTCCTGGAAAGCCTATTGGTCCAACAGCACCCATATCACCCTAGTATATGAAAGAGAGAAAAAAGACAAGTCAAGTTTAAGAGGGAACAACATGAAGCCCCACGCTTTCTCTGTAGGCTCTCTTAACTTTTGCTGCTAATCTATTTACAACAAGAAGAGAAGAGATTGGATTTATACCCAGCCCTTCACTCGGAGTCTCAGAGTGGCTTACAAATTCCTTTCCCTTCTCCTCCCCATAACAGACACCCTGTGAGGTAGGTGGGGCTGAGAGAGCTCTTTCCCAAACTGTCCTTGTGAGAACAGCTCTGACAAAACTATGGCTTGTCCAAGGTCATCCAGCAGCTGTAAGTGGAGGAGTGGGGACTCAAACCCGGTTCTCCGAGATTAGAGTCCACACACTTAACCACTACAGCAAACTGGCTCTCTTATCAGAAGTTAACTAGGTACTGTCATAAAGATTAGATTTTTTTTAATTAAAAAAAAGCTTAGGTTAAGAATGTGGGTTGGTGGTCATTGTGCAGGTAGCTTCATTACACATCTGGCACTCCAGTTCACATTTCTGAAGTTATGTCCCTTTGATAATTCTTGCTGTGGGCAATCTTAAATTTAGGTTTGTGATTTTTTTAAAAAAAGAACTTTCCTGCAAAATTACATAAAACAACCAACCCCCCTTTTTAAAAAATGTAGAAATAGCCGATGTTTCATCAATATTGGCTTATTTTGCTTAACATTCTGCTTCTGCTGACTACAATGTAGGGTGCAGAAACCATCAATAAGACTTTGTAGCTCACTTTTTCAGCAATTTCACCAGACAGTCCACCTAATAACCCTGCTGGAATAAATAGCCCAGCATCTTGTATCACACCGTTGCATTTGAAATCACTCCACTTTCCAGTAAGTAGGACAGATGAACTCCCATTCTAGCTGTATCTGACTAAGTAAGCAGAGAATCACGAAAGCTCCTCCCCTGCCACAAATTGTGTTAATCTTTAAGGTGCTACTGGACTCTTGTTCTTTTCTACTGCTACAAACAGACTAACATGGGTCCCGTTCACACGAGGCGATTTGGCCCGGGAGCGGGACAGTTCGGGGGCGGGTCAAACCGGCGCGAA